ATTTTTTGTTGAGCACACACACAAAAAAAAAAAAAAGGTCAGGAAGAAAACGGGTCAGAGAGAAAGTTATTGAGGAAAAAAAAGGTCACCTGCCCCTTTAAGGGTGGCCATTTTGAACTCTGCTGTTCTCCATGGCACACCTTCGACTGCCTCGCGGCACACCAGTGTACCACAGAACACAGTTTAAGAAACACTGATTTAGACAGTGTTGGTCATCAAGCCACATAATGTCGTTCTGAGTGTTAAACTTTTATTTATGGAACATACAGTTTTGACAACCTAATGGAATTTGGTCGTTACCATATGCTTTTGGGCTTTTGTGGGGCAGGACCTATACTATAGGGGCAGGCAGGGGTGGCCCGAGACGAGCTGCCGGCAACTGGCACCGCACACGGAATGCGCGATCAGCGCCTCTGCCTCCGAGATGAGCTGCCGGCAACTGGAGCCCTAGGCAGAATGCACGATCGGCGCCCCCTCATCCAAAGCCCTCAATGGCAGTGCATCATCATTGGGTGCCCCATTTAACGCGGTGCCCTAGGCGACTGCCGAGTCTGCCTGTATGCATGGGCTGCCCCTAGGGGCAGGTAAAATATAGCCTGCGGGCTAGATCCAGCTTGCCGAATCCCAGCAGGACCCTCAGGCAGGCTCCCTGGGCTCCCGCAACTGCACACACTGCTCAAAGCAGCTGGCTGCTAGGCCAGCATATGTGCCTCTGTGCAGTGCATGCCCCTCGGGGGCAAAGGGGCAGCTTGTCTCCATGTTTTGCATATGACTACAAGCACTGCCCTTGCATCTCCCAATGACTAGTTGGCACAGAGACCTCCCCTCCCCCCGACGGGCACGCATCGCACAGAGACACACTCACTTTGGTCCCAGCAGTTGGCCGCTTTGAGTGGAATGTTAGTTCAATGTCAACCAGGGAGCCTGCCTTAGGGTCCCGCTGGGCCACCAACCAGGAGCCACCTATGGCAAGCATCTCCCAGCCAGAGCCTTCATACGGCACCTCCTCCTGGACTCCAACCCCTTCCCCCAAGTCACAATCCCCTTCTGCACCCAACCCCTCTGCACCTTTGCCCTAGGTCGAGACTCCTTCCTGAACCCAAACTCCCCCCAGATCCTGCATTCCTCCTGCACCCAATTCACCTACCCTAAGGTCCCTTCTGTACTTAAGCTGCTGTTGCTAGAGCCCTCACTGTTGATCTAATTCCACTCACATTGAAGTCAATCACTTTCATAGGATTTTTGGGCCAACACTCAGCTCTGAGAACAAATAAAGGGTCACACTGAGCCAGGCAAATAGTCCATCTAGCCCAATAGCCTGTCTTCTTACATTAGCCAGTGCCAAATGCTTCAGTGGGAAAGAATAGAACATGGCAATTATGAAGCGATCCATCTCCTGTTGTCCAGTCCTGGCATCAAAAGTTGGGGACAAACAGAGCATGTGGTTTCATCCCTGAGTATCTTGTCTAATATCCAGTGATGGAACTAACCTCCATAGATTTATCTGATTATTTTCTGATTCCACTCATACTTTTGGCCTTCACAAAATCCCTTTGCAAGTCCCATAAGTTGATTTTATGTCTTTCGTAAATAAGTACTTTTCTATGTTTGTTTTAAATCTGCTGTCTATTAATATCATTGGGTGACCACTGGTTCTTGTGCTATGTGAAGGGGTAAACAAAATTCCTTATTGACTTTCTCCACACCACTCATGAGTCAATACATATCATAGCTATCATATCCCTCTTTAATCATGTGTTTTCTAAGATTAAAAGTCCCAGTCTTTTTAATCTCTCCTCACATACTACTATGTATGTAGTATGAATTTCTTTTTTGAGTTGTGGTGACCACAACCGCACACAGTATTAAAACTTGACTGTCTCATGGGTTTATTTAGAGGCATTATATTTTCTGTCTGATTATCTATCCCTTTCCTGATGGTTCCTAACTTTCTGCTCAGTTTTTTCACTGTCACTGTGTGTTCAATGTGCAATGACTACAAGATCTCTTTCTTGGGTAGCAACAGCTGATTTAGACCTCATTATTTTGTATGCATACTAAACTGGAGTTTAGTGAGATCCCTTTGTACCTCTTTGTAGTCAGGTTTGGACTTAGTTTGAGCAATTTTCTTTTGGCTGCAAATTTGCCATCTTTCTCTTCACCAGCTTGTCCACATTCTTTATGAATACAGTAGAAAGTCAGAGTTATAAATGCCTTAGAAATGGAGGTTGGCCGTAACTTTGAATTGTTCGTAACTATGAACAAAACATTATGGTTATTCTTAAAAAAAGGTCACCTGCCCCTTTAAGGGTGGCCATTTTGAACTCTGCTGTTCTCCATGGCACACCTTCGACTGCCTCGCGGCACACCAGTGTACCACAGAACACAGTTTAAGAAACACTGATTTAGACAGTGTTGGTCATCAAGCCACATAATGTCGTTCTGAGTGTTAAACTTTTATTTATGGAACATACAGTTTTGACAACCTAATGGAATTTGGTCGTTACCATATGCTTTTGGGCTTTTGTGGGGCAGGACCTATACTATAGGGGCAGGCAGGGGTGGCCCGAGACGAGCTGCCGGCAACTGGCACCGCACACGGAATGCGCGATCAGCGCCTCTGCCTCCGAGATGAGCTGCCGGCAACTGGAGCCCTAGGCAGAATGCACGATCGGCGCCCCCTCATCCAAAGCCCTCAATGGCAGTGCATCATCATTGGGTGCCCCATTTAACGCGGTGCCCTAGGCGACTGCCGAGTCTGCCTGTATGCATGGGCTGCCCCTAGGGGCAGGTAAAATATAGCCTGCGGGCTAGATCCAGCTTGCCGAATCCCAGCAGGACCCTCAGGCAGGCTCCCTGGGCTCCCGCAACTGCACACACTGCTCAAAGCAGCTGGCTGCTAGGCCAGCATATGTGCCTCTGTGCAGTGCATGCCCCTCGGGGGCAAAGGGGCAGCTTGTCTCCATGTTTTGCATATGACTACAAGCACTGCCCTTGCATCTCCCAATGACTAGTTGGCACAGAGACCTCCCCTCCCCCCGACGGGCACGCATCGCACAGAGACACACTCACTTTGGCCCCAGCAGTTGGCCGCTTTGAGTGGAATGTTAGTTCAATGTCAACCAGGGAGCCTGCCTTAGGGTCCCGCTGGGCCACCAACCAGGAGCCACCTATGGCAAGCATCTCCCAGCCAGAGCCTTCATACGGCACCTCCTCCTGGACTCCAACCCCTTCCCCCAGGTCACAATCCCCTTCTGCACCCAACCCCTCTGCACCTTTGCCCTAGGTCGAGACTCCTTCCTGAACCCAAACTCCCCCCAGATCCTGCATTCCTCCTGCACCCAATTCACCTAAGGTCCCTTCTGTACTTAAGCTGCTGTTGCTAGAGCCCTCACTGTTGATCTAATTCCACTCACATTGAAGTCAATCACTTTCATAGGATTTTTGGGCCAACACTCAGCTCTGAGAACAAATAAAGGGTCACACTGAGCCAGGCAAATAGTCCATCTAGCCCAATAGCCTGTCTTCTTACATTAGCCAGTGCCAAATGCTTCAGTGGGAAAGAATAGAACATGGCAATTATGAAGCGATCCATCTCCTGTTGTCCAGTCCTGGCATCAAAAGTTGGGGACAAACAGAGCATGTGGTTTCATCCCTGAGTATCTTGTCTAATATCCAGTGATGGAACTAACCTCCATAGATTTATCTGATTATTTTCTGATTCCACTCATACTTTTGGCCTTCACAAAATCCCTTTGCAAGTCCCATAAGTTGATTTTATGTCTTTCGTAAATAAGTACTTTTCTATGTTTGTTTTAAATCTGCTGTCTATTAATATCATTGGGTGACCACTGGTTCTTGTGCTATGTGAAGGGGTAAACAAAATTCCTTATTGACTTTCTCCACACCACTCATGAGTCAATACATATCATAGCTATCATATCCCTCTTTAATCATGTGTTTTCTAAGATTAAAAGTCCCAGTCTTTTTAATCTCTCCTCACATACTACTATGTATGTAGTATGAATTTCTTTTTTGAGTTGTGGTGACCACAACCGCACACAGTATTAAAACTTGACTGTCTCATGGGTTTATTTAGAGGCATTATATTTTCTGTCTGATTATCTATCCCTTTCCTGATGGTTCCTAACTTTCTGCTCAGTTTTTTCACTGTCACTGTGTGTTCAATGTGCAATGACTACAAGATCTCTTTCTTGGGTAGCAACAGCTGATTTAGACCTCATTATTTTGTATGCATACTAAACTGGAGTTTAGTGAGATCCCTTTGTACCTCTTTGTAGTCAGGTTTGGACTTAGTTTGAGCAATTTTCTTTTGGCTGCAAATTTGCCATCTTTCTCTTCACCAGCTTGTCCACATTATTTATGAATACAGTAGAAAGTCAGAGTTATAAATGCCTTAGAAATGGAGGTTGGCCGTAACTTTGAATTGTTCGTAACTATGAACAAAACATTATGGTTATTCTTTCAAAAGTTTACAACTGAATATTGACTTAATACAGCTTTGAAACTTTACTATGCAGAAGAAAAATGCTGTTCTTAATTTCAATTAAACAATCACAGAAATAGTTTCCTCACCTTGTCAACTTTTTTAAACTTTTCCTTTATGTTTTTAGTACTTTAAATGAAACACAGTACTATACTGTATTTACTTTTTCTCTTTCTTTCTGGTATCTGATGCTATCATTCGTGTTGGAAGATCAAAGCTAACTTAGGAGAGTTAAAGTGGTAACTGTGCCTAAGTAGCTGGTTAAATACATTTGGTCTGGTTTTACAAACACATTGTTTTAATAATTCAGGCTGTCAGACTTTTCCACCTGTCTGTAATAACATGCTTCCCGCTTCCTTGCCTGCAAGGAATAACTAACGATATCTCTCCTCCCAAAATTACATGAAGCAACTTATTTCAGAGTCCAGTACTCATCTATAAATGGACATTATACAATGAGCAAACAAAAACACTAATGGAGCTCCAAACTCACCCTCTCTGGAAGAGATCCACATTATGGAATTTGTGTAGTTCCACAGAAAACTCAACCGTTCCCTGTACCTCCGACATGATCTTTTCAGGTCATCACCTAAATGGCACACAAACAGATATTTTAAATATGCTGAATAATTTGCTTAATAACACACACACTTGTTATTACATCTTGCTTCAGTACTCTGGGCTTCATCCCAAAACCCACTGAATCCAACGTGAGTCTTTATAGTAACTTACAAGGGCTCATTCAGGCTTTCTATTGAGAAGAGCAACATCCAAATCATGTGTAGTATATAAAGAAAATAATTGCCAAACTCTCCATTTTTAAAATATATACACCCAAGGTAAGGAAACGAACGTGTTAGTCAGTTCCCCGTTATGTCATAATGATTATTAGTACAATTCAGGAGTGGTGAAAGGAAAATCAGTGTTATACTCAGGCAGAGTTAATATAATTTGTACCATATCTAGTTTTCTAAAACTAATAAGAATGGTGCACCCTTGCTTTATTTTTGATAATGCCCTTGGTGAGACTGACATAAAAGTTAAGTTTCTAAAAGATATTTCTGTGGTGTGCACCAATAGTATATATGATAGATTCAAAGAAAAGCTAAAGGCACAGAGCTTGAACAAAAACACTTATAGATGGTCCTTGGCATGTGCAATGTTTAGTAGCCAGCTGATTGGGCTAGTGACATTTATTTTGGAAATACAACTGATTGATTGAGTTATATGCATTGATAACATTGGTACTTGGTACATACACATGTAAACACAAACTAAAGAAATCATATCTGCAACAATCATGATTCAGAGTAGTTAGTGGGATGTTGATTTCAGAGAAAATATATTGAGTGTCAGCGAGGACAGAATTTTTCCTAGTATCACTATTGTATTAGAGAGAGCAATAACCCTACATGCTGGATGCTACCATCCTCGCAGCACTTTTAAGAATCCCAGTAGCTTGATGGCACTTATTGCATCAGTGAAGGCTGCAGGATCAGGCCCCCTTTTTTGATTTACTTTCAGAAGATATTATACCATTTCATAAAATGAGTTTACCTCCCACAAGAGATTAAAAATACGGCCAGCATTATACATCTCTCTAGCACACACACATTTTCTCAGTACTCTGGCCTCCCTTGTCCGATTCCATGATAGAATTCATCAGAAAGTCGGAGACAAAAGAGCAAACTAAAAACATCTTCCAATACCAGGCAATGACTCATAAACCTAGAAGCATTCATTTAAGGCAAAGGTTGAAGAAAAGAACCCAGCTGTGTTTCCCAGGAAGCTCTGTGCATTTTAGAAGTGAGTCTCCATAATACATTCCCTATTATTTCTACTTTTAGCACATACTATATTTTGTTAGAGATTCCCAAAGGAGCTGATATTTGCAAGATGAGGGAGGGAATTTAAGAGTTTTTCTAAAAGCTACAAATTGTGTTTATAAAAAAGAAACAGTCACACTAAAACTGCATCACTCTCATTGCCATACATATCTGCTCCTAACATAAATATCAATAAAGTCAGCGACACGGGAGCAAAATAATAAACAGCCTGAGAGGAACAGGGCAAACATGACTCAAACTCAGAAAAATTCAGTTAGCATAAAGTGTTGGGAAGTGAAAAGAGATGAAATGTCTTTTCTTTTTAGAGAGACAAAGTAAAATGGCTGTGGTAATATGTTTTATTGGACCACTTCTGTTGGAGAAAGAGACAAGCTTTAGAGCTTGCACGGCCATTTTCTTCAGGTCCAGGAAACTCACTCAGAATGTCACAACTGAATACAAGGCTGAACAGATTGTTTAGCATAAATAGTTGGCACATATTTCAAGGCACCATTCAAGGGGGAAGTAAAATTTTCTTTTTAATCCTTTTAGTTTTTCTATCATTTGCCTTTTCTGAAGTGAAATGGTTCCCAGCTGACCCTAAAGTCATGACTGAATCCAGATGCCCAGAGAGCAGGTGAGTTGAGAGCAATCACAGAAGTCAGTCAGCACCTCTGTGGCAGTATTACTGCTAATCATCTTCATTTGCATGAACCCATGGGCATTGGTAGGACAGGAGAGGTAAAACCTTTATTATATTAGTGATATATGTTGGTCACTTTTGAATTAGTTCCGTCATTATTTTATTTCCAAGATTTTGAATACTGCAAGGTATAACAGAGCTGTGCTTCACTATTTGAATAAGGACAAAGAAAAGCAGATGGCTTAAGGCACTTGGTAATACCTGCCCTTATTTGAATGATAAAGAATAGCAATACCAGGCCTTTCAATTGTTACTAGATAACTAGTTGAAGGGTAATTTAAGAAATACCCTTATAAAAAGAAAGGGTAGCATGGCCTACATAGAGTTCTAGCATTTGGTTTTTCTGGACGGCTAATACCATTCCTGACCTTAATTCCATCTATTTCCTAGACCAAGTAACTCAGCCTGTTATGGCAAATCTATAACAGAATAACCAATGCAAGCAAATCTGCAGTGTATTGGCCCAGTTTAGAATTTAGCCAGACACAACAGTTAGACACCCTTCCTTTCCCTTTTCTTTAATGGCCATAGCTATCCAGGACTTGGATTGGATGTGACCTCTGAAAAAACCCAGCATCTGCAGCTACATGATGTCTTTTATTATTCTGTACTGACTCAAAAGTATCAAGGATTACCTTGCAGGTCTCTCATTGCTATATTTGCCTACTTAGGTTGTAAGCTCTGGTGGGATTACAGCACAAGATGGGCAAGCTGCAGGTAACTGTTCCTATTGTTTTTGTAGAAGTTCAAACCTGCAACATGCCCTTGAATTCTTAATTTAATTTGTAGGGGGAAGAAATAGAGCACTATTATAGTTATAAATAAATAGGAGGCACATGACTTTACCCAGCCAGATCATCCACAAACCATGCTTGTTTCTTTCACAGGTATACCATCTGAGCTTGTTAAACATTGTTTGTTTTTATTCACCAAAGAGCCAACACATTTTAGAATAAGAGTCCAATTATTTTCAAGTCTGCTATTCTGCATTCTAGGGAAATGAAAATTGGTTCCTTCAAAGACACATCAAACCTATTTTCAAAAAATACAGCACAAAAGAGTCAATTTTTCCTAAGGCTTCTTAATTTCTACTATAAAAAGTAAAGTGGGCAACATAGGAATAAAAAAAAATCACTGAAGAAAGAGAAATAGGGTATGTCTACACTACCCCGCTAGTTCGAACTAGCGGGGTAATGTAGGCATACCGCAATTGCAAATGAAGCCCGGGATTTGAATTTCCCGGGCTTCATTTGCAATTGCGGTATGCCTACATTACCCCGCTAGTTCGAACTAGCGGGGTAATGTAGGCATACCGCAATTGCAAATGAAGCCCGGGATTTGAATTTCCCGGGCTTCATTTGCAATTGCGGTATGCCTACATTACCCCGCTAGTTCGAACTAGCGGGGTAATGTAGGCATACCGCAATTGCAAATGAAGCCCGGGATTTGAATTTCCCGGGCTTCATTTGCAATTGCGGTATGCCTACATTACCCCGCTAGTTCGAACTAGCGGGGTAATGTAGGCATACCGCAATTGCAAATGAAGCCCGGGATTTGAATTTCCCGGGCTTCATTTGCAATTGCGGTATGCCTACATTACCCTCCTATTTCGAAATAGGCGGGTAGTATAGACATACCCATAGCTATTCAAAAACCAAGAAAGATATGGAATTAAAGTAGTCAAGAAAAGGATCCAGATAATTTACAGACATCAACATTTTTACAGATATAATTTTGTCCCCTAATTTACCTTTCCCAACTAATTTGGAATTGGACAAGTTCGATGTCTTCAAGTAGGCAGCGCGTGATAATATACATCCTAGAATAAATAATGGAATAAGAAATCTCTGTGCCATTAACAATTATTATTTAAGAACTTATGGAACATGGAAGAGACCCTAGAGAACTGGAAAAGGGCAAATATAGTTCCTATCTAAAAAAAGGGAATAAGGACAACATGGGGAACTATAGACCCGTCAGCTTAATTTGGTACCTGGAAAGAAAATGGAGCAAATAATTACATTGTGAGCATCTAGAAGACAATAAGGTTTATTAACTGGAATATATCAAGAAGAAATTAGGTCATGTCAACCTAATATCCTTTCTTTGACTGGGTAACAAGAATTGTGGATTGGGTGGGAAGTAATAGATGTGAGATAGCTTGACTCTAGTGAGGCTTTTAATATTGTCTCACATGAGCTTCTTACAAGCAAACTACAGAAATATAGTCAAGATAAACTTATTATAAAGTTGGTGGTCAACTTCTCAGAAAAGCACATTCAACCCTGGTCTACACTAGTGCGTTATTTCAAAATAACCTCCCTTAGGTTGAATTTATAAATGAAGCGTCCACACTACGAAGCCGGTTATTTCAAAATAATGGGCCACTTATTTCAAAATCTATACTCCTGCTTTCCTCGGGAACTAATGCTAATTTTGAAATACCGTGAGTGTTTCATAATCTAAAAGGGAAAGACTGAAAAAATGGCTTTGTTTAGTCTGGAGAAGAGAAAACCAAGGGAGTGGGCATTATAACACTTTTCAAGTGTCTAAAAGTTTGTTATAAAGATAATGGTGATAAATTGTTCTCCTTATCTACTGAGTACATGACAAGTAGTGGGCTGAAATGCAACAAGGGAGCTTTAGGGTAGACTTTAAGAAAAAACTTCATAAATGTCAGGGTAGTTAAGCACTGGAACAAAGTAATTAGGAAGGCAGGAATTTCTATCTTCAAAGGGTTTTAAGAACAGTTAGACGGCCACCAATCAGGGCTGGTCTAGATAATACTTACTCATGTTTCAATGCAGGGGAGTGGACTAGATAATGTAACAAAGTCCCTCTGGGTACATCCACACAGCAGGGCTAAAGTCGAATTAAGCTACACAACTTGAGCTACGTCAGTTCTGTAGCTTAAGTCGAAATAGCTTAATTCGGCTTTTGGTGCTGCCTACACAGCAGGTAGTTGAAGGAAGAACATTCTTCCTTCAACTTCCCATACTCCTTGTGAAATGAAAGTTAGAGGAGTCAGAGTAAGAAGGCAGGTATTATTTTGAAATAATA